TATATATATATATATATATATATGTATATATATATATATATATAAAGGTGTTTTAAAGTCTTCTCACACACTTGCAATATCTTAAACAATGTTTCTAAACTCCAATCGCTCTAAAAGTGCACAGGATGTCATGATTTGAGCTCCCTGCTTCCTCTGCTTTTTGCCATCTGCAAGAGCCCTTGGCCATGCCCACTTCTCCACATTGCACAGTGAACATCTGATCAGCTGCATCAGGAAGCTTGTCCTGCAGTATGGGCTGCACAAAGACGCAGCAGGTGCTAACTAATTTAACATAATTTATTTTAAATAAAAATTCCATGCCGATCATGAGGCTCATTCATCAATCAGCCAATTGTGTGTCATGTCCAATCTTATTTTGAAAAACTGCGATAGAGTGCGTCCGCGATAAACTAACCTCAAAGTAGCGAGGGTCTACTGTATATTATATTCATATATTGCAGAAATATTGATAACTATTTGACAGAACTTCACTTCAAAATGACCAGACTATCTCTTTATGTGGTCAACAAGTAAAATAGTTGGTTTTTGAATATTGTCTGGCCATCGGCAGTGATTTGGTGACTTGATGGCTTAGTCCTTGGGAAGTCATTATTTCTGGCCAACAAACAGTTTAACAGTGTGTTAATGAAGAAAAAAGGACGTTTTTGGTTTAAGCAAAACTAAACAACTGCTGACTTTTAGGCGTTTAAACAACACAAATGTTCTAGCCTGTGTGTAATTCTTCCTTCCTTCTAATAATCTCTCTCAGAGGTTCTGTCTGAGCCGATGCTGGAGATTGTTGCTGAAAGTGTCAACATGAGAACAGATCAAATGAAGCTCATCTGCCATGTCCAGTACAACGCTCGAGCTCCTGCTCCTCCGATTAACTACTACTTTTACAAGAACAACATCCGTCTGGGAACAGCGACCTCAGAGAATCATGACGTGGTCAGACGGGCTCCGGGCTGGTACAGCTGCCGGGCCAAGGTGCCACTGTTGGGTCTCTTCAGGTGGAGTGAGGCCAAACCTTTTGGAAAAGTTGCAGGTGCTTTAAAGTGAATGTAGCCTACTGTATGTAAATCTTTTACCTCTTGAATTGTCAAAAGGGTGGAATCATGGTTACTTTGTCTCTTACCCAACAGAAATCCAGCTGCCTCCACGGCCTCACGTTAGAAGCTACATGCCATTAGCTCCTGCAGAATCACCCCCAGAACACATCCTGACTGCTGCAGCTCATGTAACAAGACCCCAGCTCTCCACTGAGACTCATGCTGTGAAAGAGCTCACAGAGGACTCCACACACTCTTTGGTGCCTCACTGAGGTTCAAACGACACATATCAAGCAGTCTGCTATCTACAGACCCGTTTCCAAACTAAATTCCACTTCCAAGGCCTTGAAGTGTTTCCTGGAATGATTCATCTGAATAATTTGCCGATATCTGGACTTCCTTTAGTTTAGACTTTGTTCTTTTGGGCAAGTTATCGTCAAACATTGCAGAGTTAAATTTCAAAGCTCAGCTTTTTGAAATCGATCACACTTATTAATGCTCTGCTATTGCACACTGATGCGAAAACAACCTATTAATAGATGTTTAGTGTAGATCTTTTTAAGTGTGGTTCTGTCGAGAGGTTATGAATAATTAATATCTTACGTGTTGTAGATAACTGATTGGATCAATGAGCTAACAGCTAGTCCGAGGAGGGATAGGACCTAAGTAAGATCTCTAAACCTTTTATAAACATCACCACCTGTTCCACATTACAAGATTATTTATATAGAATTACGTTGTTACTTTTAGCTGTAGCAGCTAGCTGTAGCATTTTCAGCGTAGGCTGGGGCAGTTCCTGCGGCAGTGTCCTGGTAAATCTGCTGGATTAGCTACGTAATGAGGAACTGATGATGAGGTAAAGGTTTATTTGTATGAGCTGCAAAAAGATTTTTGAGTCAAGTTGAATTTCTTCATACTGAGTTTGTTTAAGGCACCATCTGCAACAGGTAAGATATTAACTCTTCATCAACTTTCCACACAACCTCACTTAAAAAAAATCTGAATTAGTGCTTTACCTCTTCACCAACTTCACAGAGACATCTGCAGAACTAAGAGAATTAAATTACAATAACCACTGTCATATTTTTTGATCAAATAAAGCATTCCATACTTTAAACGTACTGCTGGACTTTATTTTAAATGAACACATTTTTACAACTCTACTGTGTAGTAAAACTTTGTACATAAATATCAGAATATGCTCCACTATAGAAAGATACACTCATTCTAACCACATTTACAATACATTCAATAATATAGCAATAGGTCACACGGACATATTTTATATACTAAGACAAATATCACATCTTTGCATCATTTCTGAGTATAGAAAATAACATGAAAATCAAGGTGATAGAAAGTGTAACAGAGTTTGTAAAGCAGATCAGTGTACAAAAAAGGACACAGGGTTAGATGAGGAACAATAAAGCTTGAGAACAGGTCGTGGGATCAAAACAACTGGAAGTATAAATAAATAATTCAAAGTTTAAATGAAGCTTGAAGATTTGTTATATAATACAAGGTTAACGGACAAAGAATAATTTTTTACATTATATATTGCTATATACCTCATTTTGTTTAAGAAGGGATGCTTTTGCAAGTTTATGAGAATATTTGTGTTAAGTTGTTAATCATATAATCGCCTATTTCTGTGTGTTTGTCTGTTAGCAAATATCTCATGGGGTGGATTTTAATGTAACTCAGAAAGTAACATACGACTAAACATCTTTGGGAGTTAACCCATTTCAAGATGATCGGACACAGCTGGTCAACTTTAATAAACACAAAGATAGCTACAGGTCAGTCAGTTTTACAGGTACTGAGCTAAAACTTTCTGTGGTAGTAGCTCTGAGTCCTTCACGACACATACTCTGAGCACTAACAGACTATGTAAGAACTTTTTCCAAAACTTTGGAATGCAAGCCAATTTAGTGATGCACATTCTCCATGATTCAGCTTGTGCTGGACAAAAATGAGAAGCTAGATGAGAATGAGGCAATGAAAACACGTATTAAAGCAGCTTATAGCACCATCGGTATTTGGTGTTTTCTTCAATGTGGTCAGGAGGTGACAGTCCAGCTGAGGGTCATACTGTCAGTTTAAACAAGTGAAGGTCAGGGTTTGTCTGAGTAAAGTAAAAACCCAGAGAAGATGCTGTCATCCTCACTGCTGGCGTACACCCCATTCCAGTCCCTGAACGTCTCCATCCAGACCTGATCGCCTGCTGCCAGCCGTAGCACCACCAGACTGGACGCCTGGTCGATGTCTTGACCATACAGAGAGTCCCGTGTCCTCACTTTCCTCGACCCGTTCACCACCAGCGTCGCTCTCAGTGGCTGATTGCGCACGGTGAAGTGGAAGGAGAAGATGTACACTCCAGGGTGGACACACGTAAAACTGTTGGAAGTGATGTTGAAATGGTTCTCTTCGTTGTAGAAGATTTTGTCGAAGCGGATCGGGAAGCCGGAGGGAGGAAAGGATTTTTTCGGGGAGATGCCCACGCTGAAGGCAGACCGTTTCTGAGAATACCCAGATCCCTTGGCTCCTTTTAATCCACGAAAGCCTCGCTCCCCTCTCATCCCAGGGTAACCTCTATCCCCTTTCGGCCCAGATATCCCCCTCATGCCCTGTGGTCCTTGAGAGCCTGGTACTCCTGGTTCTCCTTGTTGTCCAGGATGTCCCGGGTCGCCTCGAATGCCAACAGGACCTGGGGTGCCGTGTTTGCCATGCAGGCCTGGTATTCCCATTGCACCCTGAATACCTGAAGGTCCAGGTTCTCCTTGATCACCTTTAGGCCCTCTTTCCCCAAATATGCCACAGTCTCCTTTATCTCCTTTCTCTCCCTTGGGACCCAGCTCAACAGCTGTTCCTGGAGGTCCAACAGGTCCCTGTGGTCCTGGTTCTCCTTTCTCTCCAGCAGTGCCATTCTGGCCAGATTCCCCTTTTTCCCCTCGTTCACCTTTGGCACCATCCAACCCTATTTCGCCTTTTCCACCATTGTAGCCAGCATCACCTGTAAAGTTAAAACGCTAAGTCAGAACTAATAAAATTGGACAACAATACATACAATTAAAAAGTAAATACATTTGAAGTACCTTTTTGTCCTGGTTTCCCCGCGAGTCCTGGTGTCCCTGCAATACCAGTGTTTCCTTTGTCACCTTTGTCTCCTGTGAAATTTAATTAAGTGAGCATCATAGTTTTTTGAGGGGTGCTAAAAATATCAAGATTAACCAACCTACTGTGCAAAAAAAATAAAAAAATAAAGGTTTATGAGGAAAAATGTTTTTTCAATACTAGAAACAGTGTTTCTGTTTTATGTATTTATTTTTGTCTTTTATCTTGAATAAACTAGGTCCATGGAGGTAAGAGAGGCTAGGTGGTGCTGTTGCCCGTCTCTGGTTTGCTGCCACTGAGATTGTGTTTTTACTGTGCAAAAATATTGAGCCATTCCTAGCATCTTTATTTTGCTTTAGGAACTGGACTTTCTTCTAAACCTAGTAAAGTGGTAAACATTTTTTTCTCAAACGTAATGAAGTCTTTCAATGTTGGTTTTGTTTTATCTTTTAGCTACACTTTCACATTTTTAACACCTTACCATTGTCAGAGTAGCTACAGTTCAGTTGATGTTAAGACAGATTTAACTTTGAGTTTTGGATTGATCAAGCAAAAAAAAAAAAAAAAGGCTGAACTCGTAAAATGAAGCACTTTTGTGTCTTATAGACAACTTAGCAAAGATTTCTATTGAATCAGATCTTTAGACACGTTGTTACCTGCAGCTTGACACAAAGACAATTTGTCCTTGCAAACTGTTGTAGTTTATGTATGTGATGAGCATCTTATCACAATGACTCATTTAGTTCTTATGTATTTAATTGAATTAGTTAAAGATTACTAACAGTTTGACTAAAACATTATTGTATGACTAACAAATAGCTTCCTAAAAAGTTCTTAGCTAAAAACTTAGCACAACGGATGTTTAGCTGAAGGATGATGCATTTCTCATGTCTTGCTATATACGTTGCTTTACCTTTTCCTATGGAACATTAATTTTACATATTTAGATATTTATTTGCTGTATACAAGTTTTTGTTTTTGTTTTGGCCTGGTCCTGCTGTTTTCTCCCACTTGCCCTCTTTCCTGTTTATAGCACGGCATACTGTTATGCCATGTACAGGTGCATCTAAAAAAATGAGAATATCATGGACAAAATTGTCATTCACTTCGGAAAGTGCAACTCATATAATATATAGATTCATTACACACAGAGTGAAATATTTCAAGCCTTTCTTTCTTGTAATTTTGATAGTTACGTCTTCCAAGTAATGAAAACCCAAAATTCAGTGTCTCAAAAAATTTGAATATTGTGAAGAGGTTCAATACTGTAAACTCCTGGTGTCTCACCCTAATCAGCTGATTAACTCCTAGACATGAGCTACAAATGTTTAATTCTTCAAGTTAAGCCACTCCTGAACCAGAGACAACTTTAGAAGTGTCTTACCTGCTGAGGAGACAAATAACTGGACTGCTGCTCAGTGGTTCAATGTCCTCTCTTCAGATTAAAGTAAATTTTCATGTCATTTGTAAATCAAGGCCCCAGAGTCTGGAAGAAGAGTGGAGAGATCCAGAATCCACATTGTTTGAAGTCCAGTGTGAAGTTTCCAGTCAGTGATGGTTTTTGGCCGTGCCATCGGCTGGTGTTGGTCCACTGTGTTTTCTGAAGTCCACAGTCAACGCAGCATCTACCAGGACATTTTAGAAACTTCAGGGCAGCTGTGGCTGAGTGGTTAGAGCAGTCATCCTCCAAATCAAGAGTTGGGGGTTCGATTCCACCAGCAGTCACAATGCCAAAGTGTCCCTGGGAAAGACACTGAATCCCTCACTGCCTCCGATGTGTGTCCCATCCCATATGAATGTGATAAAGCTCTGACTATCCTTTGTATAGATCTAGTAGAGTGCTGTATGAATGGTTATACGAGGGTAAAGATTGTGTTGTAAAGCGCTTTGAGTATCTCAATAAGATAGAAAGGCGCTATATAAGTCCATTTACCATTCATGCTTCCTTCTGCTGATGACCTTCATGGAGATGCTGATTCATTTTCCAGCAGGACTCGGCTCCTGCCCACACTGCCAAAGGTACCATGGCTGTGGAATATTCTCATTTTCTGAGACACTGATTGTTGGTTTTTTATTATTTGTAAGCCATAATCATCCAAATTACAAGAAATAAAGTCTTGAAATATTTCACTCTGTGTGCAATATATTTATATGATTCGTGAGTTTCAATTTCTGAAATTACTGACAAAAAAATTAACATTTTACACAATTTATTTATTTTTTTTCGAGATTCACGTGTAAATGAACTGGATAGAAAATATGAACGTTGCCAATCATGGCTAAAGTATAAACGTTGAAAAACCTTTAAAAAGCTAGAACTGTTTCCATTTAACAAATGGTACAGTTGCTGTAATGATGTTTTTGTGTTTAACAGTTGTTTCCTATTTAATTACAACCACCACAACACTGCAGTAATACAGTTTACAACAAGACAAGTTAAATTTACATATAACCAGATTGACGTTACCTTTTTCTCCTTTAAAGCCCATGGGACCACTCATGCCGGGTGGTCCAGGTAAACCAGCTGGTCCCGCGGGGCCGATGTCACCTTGGGCCCCTTTATAAGTGAAAATAGGTGAAGGTCAAAGAGCCGTGGTTGCACAGAAATGCTAAAACATATCAACATGTTATCAGTGAGTTTAATACCAGCTATGCCTCTTTCCCCCTTTAGGCCTATGGGACCCCTTTCAGGTGGGCAGCACTCGCAAAAGTTGAAGTAGCACTCGTTGTAATCCAGGGTATAATTCTCAGGGCCAACACCAGGAGGTTCAGTGTTTTCAGCGTACGGTGGAAACAGATGGCTTTGGTATGTGGTCTTCACTGTGGTGGGCTGCGATTGGGGCTGTGGTTGGGGCTGGGGCCGCGGCTGAGCTTGCACAGGTTTTGGGGTCGCCACTATCTTCAAAGTCTTGGGTGCGCTGGTGGTGACAGGATTGTGCACGGTGACCTGAGGGATAGGCTTCTTTGTGTACAGGTACTTTGGCTTCTGAGTAGTCTTCGCTTTAGCTGAGAGCATCACAATGAGACTCAGTACAAATACAGCCACAAGAGTCGACTGGCAGGAGATGAACCTCATGGTTGACTAGAATCTGGGGGAAAACGTTCATATTTGTCAGAATGTTCCTTCGGGAGTAGCTTCAAAAACTCAGTTATAAAAACAGACAGCAAATCTCACTCTTCCAAGTTTAAATACAAACAGAAAGAACATTTTGATGAATCAGCTCTGACCGTTTCAATGATTTCCATACAGCTGCAATCAGAAATTTAATTTCACTCATCATGGGCACGAATGTCATTAATTTAGGGGTTTAAAAAAATTTTTAACAGTTGTATAGCATAGCTACAATAGATAAACAAAAATTGATCCCATGAGTTTGAATTTATTGTGACTTTACTCCAACTAACACCAAGATAATACTCAGATACGTGCATGCACACTCATTAACATCTGGTTAAATTGGTTGGTTCCCTGGTAAAAGCCTGATTTTTAAGTGTACGCCATAAATTATCAATTGGGTTGAGGTAAAAGTTTTAGGTAGGCCTACTTTCTCTTTTCAAAAATCAAATGTGATGTGGGTTTGAGGTATTTCTCCTTTTGGAACACTTTTTTTGTCTAGTTCTCAGATCTGAGGTGAAGTTGTAGAATCTGAAGGTAGTCTTTTTTATTCCATCCAATTTGTAAATGCACCAGTACCGCAGCACAATCGTGCTTGGCAGCTGGTACAATCCTGAGTTTCAAAACCTCGCACTGACTCCTCCAAACTTATTTCTTGTCATTGTGGCAAAATAACTGAATCTTTGTCTGGTCTGATGATTAAATTGTTCTCCAGAAGGCTTGTTCGTTGAGCTTGAAGGTGTTGCTTTTGGAGCAGAGGCTTTTTTCTTGAAAACCTCTCAGAAACTTCACTGTGCACAGTGAATCTGGTGTTACAACAGTTTCCAGTTCATGGCATGATTGAGCCTTGGTAGTTCCTGAGTTTATCCTAAATATCTTAATTCAGGATTAACTCTGATCTTTTGGCTCTTCTTCCAAAACTTGACCAAGTGGTAACACGTCCTACCTTGTATTTATGCACAGTTATTTGAACAGTTTGTCTTGAGATCTGATGTTGTTTTAACTTGTGTAAATCTATAACTTCTCTTTTTAGACTTTCACTTGAGTTCCTTGAACTTTCCCCATTGTTCTGAATATTGGTCAATCTAATGAATACTGTTAAAGAAAACGTAGCAGATGCAGTCAGTCATGATTAGTGAGATGTTAGTTGGTAAAACAAGATAAGTGCTATGTGTTGTCATCATTATATGTTCCCATACAATGGCGAAATTAGTTCTCTGCATTTAACTCATCACATTTGGGATACACCCAGGTGGAGCAGTGCACAGCTATGTAAGCTGTAGCAATTAGGGATTGAGTGTCTTGCTCAGAGACACTGCAACGTGTGGGAATGACTGGGGATTGAGCCTGCGGCTTTTGGGTCCCGGGTTGGCTGCCCTACCTCTACCCCATCTTGACCCCCGAGATCTTGGCTTTGTGAAGTTAAAAGACATCCAACAGCACCACTTTTTAAAATATTTAGGTGTATATTCAAGGCTGTATGTCTAATTTATAGAAAATCCACTTGTGCACCCACTGAAATTGTGTGTTTAATCATTCCACCCTGGAAAATAAAATCAAGATTCAACTAAATCACTAAAAGCTCAAACCCATCATACTGTAAACTTGACGTTAACTTCCGATGGCCAAACCAACTTCCATTTAACTTGAGTTATTACATGTAGCCAATTAAAACATTTTGCTATGTGTCAGTAATGTTTAGGGCGCTGCAGTAGCTCGGCGGTCACTGTCGCGGTCTTGTAATCCTGAGGTTGCAGGATCGAGCCCGTGCTGCGATCGAGAATGACATTCAGTGTAAAACAATTGCCAAATATTTCATGCGAGTTCCTTGGCAACTTCTGAAGACGGGAGCAGCCAAAGTAAAGTTGCGTATCAATAAGTAAAAAATAAATAAATAAAAATTAGTTAGTATAACAATCTACACACTAACAAATGCAGATAAATGATTGGCTTTATTGGGTGACTCTTGTATTACTTTTTAAAATTAAATGTTCAACAAAGTTGATGAGACTCACCCAGTTATGCATAAGTAGTACAGTCATTTATCCTCAGTTACCAAGTCTTGGAATCAGCACCAGGAGCTCCAGGTCTCTCTGATAGCTCTGCCAGGCTTGGGTGAAAGAACATCCCACAAATAAGGGTGTATGTTCGAAGCAAAGGGGGAGGTCTAAAATCCCACTAAGGCGGACTGACCCAAGGAGAACCACTGTGCTGTAGTAGCCCATTCTCTGTACCCTTGTTGTGTAGAAAGGTGCTTTTGTGACACAAAATACAGCGCCCGTCATGAGCACTCCCTCACTGCAGGTTAGGCAAGGAGCAAAGGCCGTGGGGCAATGGGTCACCCGATATGGGAGGCATTCCTTCTATCCAGACTCTTAACGTGGGACAAAGCCAAGCAAAGAGAGGTCCGAAACAGAGGCCAGTGGATTTTTTTTTTCCATGCAGAGGTTTGGACACACTTTGGTTGTGGCTGCAAGCGAAAAGGGTAAAGGTTTGTGCAACCTTAAGCAGAATATTCCAAGTTGGTGTTGATTATAAAATCTGTAACTGTTAATTAGAATGACTTATTACCAGATCTAGACATTGGCGCGTAGTACAGGGAGCTCATTATTTTCAATCTACCGATATTTGGTGAACATCCAGAGGAAAGCTTTAGCTTAAAGAGCTCCGATAATCACTCAGGAGCTGCTAAACCTGAGCTGTTTGTCGAATGAACCAGCTTATCCCTTTTAAATCAGCGCAGTTGCAAAGCTTGCCTGATCTCAGACTTTTCTGCACATGAACTCTCAAGGTTGCTGGCAGTGACATATGTTAACTATGATTGTGTGGCCGGACAATGACTCATTCTTACGGAGTAACCAGATAGCATCAGGTTTTTGTCGAAAAGTGATTTTCTGGTAGCTGTCTAGTTGAAACTCTTGACTTGCCAGTGACAAAGAATGTTTGAAAAGTGGACATGCCTCAGTTACCAAAGACCTCGTGTCCCTGGAGAGATCTGTGTCCGGCTAAAAGTGAGCAGGGAGACGGGAAATGAAATTTTAGGGAATTAGAGAGGGTTGATGGTGGAATGAAGGAATTAAGTAAAAGCCACTAAAAGCAACAGCTTGATTAGTTTTAACTATTTTACCCACGTCTACTACTTATTCTTCTAACACCGCCATGCTTGTCTTCTTCCTTTTTCTCAGCAGCTAAATTGAAGTGTCTTTAAGTCCCCCCCTAAAAATAAAGACAAATTGATGAAGTGTGAGATATGCAGAAATGCCCTGAGAAAGAAATTGGTTCCTCTGGACTTGGCCATGCCTGACCTCATCAACTCTATTCAGACCACACACAACAGCAGCGGTCAGTTTACAGTGCCCGGCTAGTCACAGAGGACCCAGGTTCTGCTCACCTGCCCATTGATTCAGCACTGACACCAGCTCTGCCCTCAGCCTCCATCCACACACTCTAAAGCGCTATTACTATAGCACTTGGAACAGGAAAGAGTTAACTTACACAGCCGGAGCAGCCGAGCAGAGAGAGAACCAAAGATGACTTGGATGGATGGAGAAGTATTAACTTACATTAACCCTATTCATGAAGCTGCAGTGAGTGCTGAGCATGTTAAAGGGAGTTAGAGGTAGTACTCAGAAAAAAAGAGGTACTCTTTGTGATTATCCCCATCGCGTTCACAAGCACCAATAAAACTACTGATGGTTTTGTTGCTCTTTACTGAGATCTTATCGAGGAAAATCTAGACCCTGGAACCATGTTGGCTCTGGATTTACTTATCAAAGTACATAATTAGTTTTTCCTTTCATTCTGTCCCTAATGAGCATTTTAAATGATAAGTTTACTTGTGTTCTTTAGGGTAAATCGTGTTTGCTTGAAGTTGGTTGTGCAAACACAATGTCCTGTAACACTCAAGAAAACCAGTGGCTGTGTCGGATTTGTGGAAGGATTAGGCCCAGAATGTGCACAACACCTCTAGGAGTTAAAAAATAAAATGTTAATTTAATAGAAATTAAGAGGCAGCAAAACGCAAATCACAAAGATGCGGAAAAACAAACCTGATGTGGCATGAAGGCTAATAATGAACATGGAGGTGAAAAGGGACTGAATATATCAGGACTCAGGATGAGTGGGAGATTGAATGCAGCTGAACTCATTGCTGAATAAGAAGAGGCGAGAGTGGCAGGCTGGCCTGAACAAACACAGAGGAGCATACAGCTAATTGATGGCAGATGAATAATGGAATAAACGAACACAGAGAAGAAGACCACAAGAAGGATCACAAGATACAGAAAATAAAACACAACTAGAAAAAATGCATTTCCTGCGAAAATGCAGTGTGAATGCTTATTTCTGAAGAACTTGCTGAAAAGCAGCTGAAATTAGCTAAAACATGCTGAAAAGTACTTGGAATTGAAGCACAAGCCTGTTAGCAGAAGAATGCAGGAAGAACACACATTTGCAGAATTAGGTTTAAATAAGCCGAAAGAGCATGAAAAATTGGAAATTAGCTTAAAAAAAGAAGAAGATGAACTAAGTACAAAAAATGGGTGAAAAGTAGCTTAAAAGACAGAAAGAAGTTGAAATTCCCAGAAGGACGTGGAAAGAGCATATTTTTGCTGAATTAGGCTGAAAAGGTTTAAATTAGTGCAAAAATTTTGGCATTAGCTGAAAAACCTAAAAAAAAAAATAGCATAAAAACAACTAAATAGTAGCTGAAATAGCAGAAAAAGCTGAAACTTCATAAATGAGCTGAAAGGAGCATTACAAAATGTGAAAGGAGCAGTAAAAGGTTGTAAACAGACCTAAAGGTCTGATGGATGTAAAATGAGCTCAATTCATTTTCTATGAGGAAAAAATGGCAGAAATGGCTAAATATTTCAAAAAGCTAAAGTTGCATCAATACCAAAAGTCAAAGCAGGATTATCATGAAAGATCTGAACATTTTTATATATGATCTGTTGAAATAG